CTTCTTTTTGCCGGTTGGCCGGCCCATGCACGGCTGGTTTTGCCGGTTGGCCGCACCATGCACGGCTGGTTTTGCCGGCCAGTCGGCCAATTTTTTATTTTTTTTAATTATATACATTATATTAGAATTTAGATTTATGTTATAAATTAGAATTTAATATCTCATAGTTAGAATTTAGAAATTGTTAAAATATAAATTATATAACTCATTATTTTATAGAATTTTATTATTATTATGTTAGAACTCATAAAATATTATTTTATATAACATAACACTAATTATCTCTAATAAAATACTAATGAGTGATGCTATTAAAAATTGTATTTCCCTTTTTTCTTAAATCCTCTCCTTTTCAACTCGGTAATAACTTTTAAAATACAAAATAATATTTTGACTTAAATTTGAAATTAACAAATACCAATTTAAATAACAAATTGAACGAAAAAAACGGATTCTGTTAGAGCAATTCATTGAGACCGATTAATTAAGTATGATTTGACCAAATTTTATGACAAGAGATTGTTTGACACTTTTCTTAGAGTTATATGATTCGTTTGAATATTATAGTAGGAAAAGTGTTCTAACAAAATAGTAATAAATTCTAATTTATAATAGTAATAATCTATACCATAATAATTTCTAACTTCTAACATAGTAGTACTAAATATTATTTCATAAGGCTATCAATTATACCATAATAATATCCAACTTCTAACATAATAGTAATAAATTATAATTTATAACATAATCAGTTTTAATCTATAATACAATAATTTCTAACCTCTAACAAAACAGCAATAAATTCTAATTCATAAGACAATCAATTCTAATCTATAATACAATAATTTTTAACCTCTAACATATTATTAATAAATTCTAATTTATAAGATAATCAATTCTAATATATAACATAATAATTTGTATTAATATAATTTTTTTCAAACTAGTATCTAATTTATAATAATATAACTTATACTAATTATACTAATATAAACACAACTGAATATCATTATATATCAATAACATAATGAATGTCATCAATTACAAACATAATATACCATAACTATTTCCAACTTCTAACATAATAGTAATATATTCTAATTTATAACATAATCAATTCTAATCTATAATACAATAATTTCTAACCTCTAACGAAATAGCAATAAATTCTAACTCATAAGACAATAAATTCTAATCTATAATACAATAATTTCTAACCTCTAACATATTAGTAATAAATTCTAATTTATAAGATAATCAATTTTAATATATAACATAATAATGTATACTAATATATTTTTTTCAAACAAGTATCATTTCTAATTTATAATAATATAACTTATACTAATTATACTAATATCATTTTTTAATTGTATATGTTATTAGTTCATTTTATCCTCAACAAGTGCATAACAAACATAACCCGAAATTAACGTATAAACACGATCGAATATCATAATATATCAATAACATAATGAATGTCATCAATCACAAACATAATATACCATAAACCCTAAACCTTGAATCCT